TTCTAATTCTCTAATTCACGGAATTCGGAGGGATTTCACATGACGACAATGCTATAGTTTATTATGTTACATAATATTATAAGTTGTTAATTATGATGTTTTATTAAATAAATTTGATATATAATACATACGATATTATGAGTGGACTTTTGAATAAAAAAAATTAATTATATAATAATACATCATATTGTAAGTTTATAATGTGATATAATATTGTAACTGTATTATTTTCTTTTGTTGTATTTTATTTTTTTTCCTATTACTTACCGGGTATTGATTCCATTTTCGTCCAACTGTTCATTTTGGTCTAGTTTTCAAAACGATGCATGTAGTTATTATTAGACATTTAAACATTTTTAATGTTAAAACATCATGATTTTTCCTTTTTTTTCTTGTGTAAATTATTGAAGTTTTGATTTTAAATCATGAGATATAGAGATATGGTGAGTTAAAGGACTAGATAAGTTGCCTTTCATTTGACAATACTATAATTACAATGTCATATAAAATTATAAATTTATAATTAGAATATGATATTAAATAAATATGATATGATATTAAATAAGTTAATGTATACAATATCATAGATGAACCTATAAATAAAAAGAGCCAATATATATAACAACATGTTATATTATAATTAAGTTTATAGTATCATATAATATTATAACTATACTATTTTTAATTTTTTTTGTGAACATGGAGTATTATGAGGGATAAGGAGGTTTTTTAAGTAGTTAGTGAGAATTGAACTCTCGACCAACTAAACTCAAGTATTAAGGTTTAGAAAACCATTGGGTCTGAAGGCATAATTTATAGGATTTTTAATTTCTCATTATATAATTCAAGATAAGAAAAATTCATGACAAAAAGATTGATTTCAACTTGTCTATTTAATTGTCAAAATCCTAATGGTTAAATTAGTCAATACCTTTATAATCCAGAAACGCAATTTTTAACATAATATTAAAATGAATGCAAACTTTGGAAAGTGTTTACTCTTTTTTTACCTTAGAAAATGTGATTCATGGGGGATGTGGCTCTAATTATTGCCATACAAAAAATTGTTAAATTTTCAATTACTAGAGTTAGGCCCGCAAACCTTTAGGGATGAAGGTGGAAATGGTGGCGGTTTACCCTATCTATGTTTTTCTAAAATATAAGTTTTGTTAGAATGAGAATGTACAGTATAGTATCAGAGTTTTGAAACCTTTTAAAGTTACTTATTGTAGTATTAAACCAACTATAAAATATAAAATCTTAACTAATACTAAGTACAATTGATGATTGACATGCTTTACTCGTTTCTCTTATTTTAAGACTTGTAATTTTAGATCGACATTTATTAATAACATTTATCTCTCACAAAAAACTGCATATATAAGTAACATTCAAAGCATTTATTCTAATGCGTTGAAGTAAAGTGACGCCTTGTTGGTTAAAGCCTACATACTCCCTCATTGTTAAAGCCTAGGCAATAAGGATAAGGGTTTAGCCCACAAACTTTTGCGCAGTGTTAGGCCAATAACTCACCGGAAATACCGGAAAAACTGTTTCCTGCAAGGCCGGTGAAAATGTGGATGGTATTTAGTCAACAAATAAAAAAAATTTTAGTACCATAAATTGTACCGAATCACACAACAAAATATAAGTAAATCTCATATAATATTTTATTATTTAAATTATATTAAATTATAAAATATTAATTATTAAATAATAAGAGATTACATAATAATTGATGAGATTCTTTAATCCAATCGTTAGTGATTTTATAATTAATTTAAATTACAAAACACTTAATTTTTTATAACAATTTTTTCCATAGTGAGATTTTTGTACCCAAAATAGGCGGTACAATCGTGGCGCGCAAATGAAAACTATCTTCAAGTTATTTGCATCTAGTTTTGTAAGGACGTATAAATGGTTTAAAACTTAAAACTGGTATATATTCTTGTCAATAGGAATCAAATAAAATCCTATGACCACTCAATGAATCCAACAGTTGTTCTTATCATTTTTGGACCTCAAAAAATGATTGAAGGTAATCGGTACATTAGAAACCTTCTCGAAGGGAAATTCAGAAAGATTAAAGACATTGTATGGCTGGATTTACTTTCTAATTAAGTGCTGGTATAAGTCTCAACTGGTGTGGCTGTTTCTTTAGCTTTCTTTTTTCTTCTTTTTATTAATCTTACGGTATTCGACAATCATGTTGAATCACGATTGATTTAAAATTGAGTCACGTTAAATTTCATGAGTTTTGGGTTTCCTCATCCTCTTTCCTCTATATTTTTTCATGAAAAAGATTAATCGAAGGCCCTCTGCCCTTGTATATTTGCGTTTATTAGCTAGGCCGTCTACTAACTATACCATTGGCCATTTTGCAGGTTTGTTATTAAATTAATTAAACCTTTAAAGGCTGCAAGCTGTATCAACTAGTCTTGGTCTCCCAAATTGTCCCTACACAAAGAAAGAAGTTAGTCTTATCGTAGAGAAAACTAAAATAAACGCATAATTCTTATTATTTTGACCAAAAAAAAAAAACTCTTATTATTTAGAGGTATGATAATTATATATAAATAAAAAATCATTTATATATAATTTTTATACATTATATTTATATAAAATTTTAATTATATTTATTCATATTTATTAAAAACAATTATTTTTATTTAAAAAGTTATGTAAATAAAGAGATAAATAATCAAAATTTTATATAAGTATAATATGTAAAACTTTTATATAAATAAATTCTTCCTCATTTTATATAAGTAGTTTTTCTATAGTTATTAAACAATTTATTGACTAAAAGACTTATAAACCCTAAATAAATCCAGCATAAAAATTTTAAGAGTTATTGCCATAACTAACTCAATAACTCTTAATGTATACCTCCTAAATATCCTTACCACTTTAATTATTCACGCTAGGTCGAGCATCAGCTGGAGAAATATTTTTTCATACAATGAATTGATCATGTCAATGGGGTTTGGTCATTTACTCGTTCATTATTAAATTCCATATCGTATCAAAAAAAAAAAAAAAAAAACAAACAAACAAATAGATAAAACTTCATTGCTGTGCCAATTATAGATAAGTCTTTGTTTCCCAAGGGTGTAGTTACGTTCATTAACTCATTTGTTAAGGTCATTAAAATTATATTTCATTTGATTGATATTTGTAGTTTTTTTTTTTAAATATTAATTTATAAACTGATTTTTATTTATTAAAATTATTCTTAACAATAAAATAAAACAAAATTAATATATTTTTAACATAATCTTAATAAACTTTTCACAAAATAATTAGTAGCCATAACTACACTAGTTTACCGATTGTATACCCATGATTCACGTCCAGCATATATGTGTCATCCGCACTCGGCATCCTCCAATCTGCCTATATATACACATCCATCTCTTCCTCCCTAACCAACACATAGCTTCATCAAGAAAATTATATTACCAAAGTAATTAGGCATAACCAAAAACAATGACCATTTGTTTCTTCTTCTTTGGCCTTACCTTGGTCATCCTTCTTTCAGGTACATCAAATGTTTATTATAATGATTTATCAAAACTGCATTAATTAATTTAATATGTATGTATTTTCTCATTGCAGGAATTCACTCAGCAACTCTCACCGTGAAGAACAATTGTCCCTACACAATATGGCCAGCAACCCAAACTGGCGGTGGTGCAGCCCAGTTATCAAACACTGGTTTCGTGTTATCCTCCCAAGCATCAGTCTCCGTTGTCACTCCTGCTCCTTGGAGCGGTAGGCTGTGGGCTAGAACACAATGCTCAACAGGCTCTTCCGGAAAATTCATCTGTGCCACAGCCGACTGCGGCTCTGGTCAGGTTGCATGCCATGGTGCTGGGGGAACCCCGCCAGCATCCCTTGCAGAATTCACACTGGCATCAAAAGGGGGGAAAGACAATTACGACGTCAGCCTCGTGGATGGCTTTAACCTGCCTCTCTCGATAACTCCTCAGGGCGGCTCCGGTGAAAATTGCACCACGACCAGTTGTGGCGCTAATATTAATGCAGTCTGTCCTTCGGATCTAGCTGTTAGAGGGTCTAGTGGGAGCATCATCAGTTGTAAAAGCGCTTGCGTTGCGTTCAATCAACCGCAGTACTGTTGCACTGGCATGTTCAATTCGTCAAATACTTGCAAACCCACGAACTACTCAATGATCTTCAAGAACGAGTGTCCTCACGCTTATAGTTATGCTTATGATGACAGGTCAAGCCTCTTCTCTTGCACCGGCAGCCCCAATTACCTTATTACTTTCTGCCCATAATGAGTTCCACTTCCATGTGATAATATAAGGATTATAATGAAGCTAAAAATAAATAAAGTTGGATATCACCAACGGCCATGTGTGGTCTTGTAATAGAATTAGTATTCTTAGTAAAAGGTTTAAGGGTTTTATCTCCTAATCTTAAAAAATTAAAGAATTTCCTACAAAAAATCTTGAAAAATTAAAGAATAAAGTTCAACATCATATTGTCTTGTGATTTAGATGACAATTAAATTATCAATTATGGTATAGTTCTATATGTTGATTTCACAAAAGTGATAGTGAATTGTATATTTATAACTATTGATCAAAGAAATCTCTGATAATATTAGAGTAGTTTTACCTTAGATCAATAATTATAATTAGGATTGAGAACATGTAAATGATACTAATAATAATAATAAAAAGAAGAAAGATCGAGGAGAATCA